AAAAAATAGTAAAATTTTGGAAATATTTAGGCATTGAAATGTGCAAAACCTTAAATGGTATAACCACATATAACAGACAACAAAAAAACTAAGAAAAACAATTTATGTTTTCCAAAATTTAACGGATTTACTATAAATTAAAAAAAATTAAATCGTATACCAAGCATTAGTAGAATCTATAATTAACTATGGTATTACTATTTGGGGTGGTGCCTACGATACAACACTAATTTCATTAAAAAAAATAAAAACACGATATTAAAAATTATTTAAAAAAAAAATCATTCGTATCACACCGAATATTTGTACATAGAACGATAGAACTAATTAACGTACTTCCAATACAAAAAAACTGTCGTATAAAGCATCATTAATTAATTTAATTAAAAATAACCCATATCCTAGACAGGTTATTGAACATGGTCATATGTATAACACAATACAATTATCAGATATTACTGTATCTTTAGACTTTAATGCACATAAAACTAATACAACAATTTTTACTTATAGGTACATAGAACCAAAAATATATAATATGCTACCATATGACATCAAAAAAAAAATCATTCCTTCTATAGTTTAAATACTAGTACGCACGCGGGAAGTGAAACTTCTTTTGAACGGTGTGTTTTAAAAAATGAGAGGAAGTTATCCGGAATTATTTATTATTGATACTTTTATTATTTTTTATTTTTATTCGACTGGCTTCAGAATAAACAAAATATAACATTTAACAAACTAATTAAGTGTAATGAAAAATGATGGTTATCAAATTCTTAACACGATTAGGTAACTTTTTTTTTTTTATTTATTAATAAAATATTTACGGTCTGTGAATACTTCAGCACAATAAGACAGATATTCAGTACTTTCCAAAATAATCATTAATAAATGTCTGGATATTTCAAGAAAGAATAATAATGCATTACAAAGAAAATTTAATAATAACGAATAAAAAACAGAACAAATAGAATATTAATAATATGATTTCCTATTTGCACAGTGCCTATGTATAAAGTGCTGTGTAGCAATATATGAGACATTTCAAAATTAAGTTTAGAATGAATGATCTAAAATAGGTCATGTTTAGGCTGAATTTATAATATTACATAACAGTGGATATTTTTATTATTGCCAAACGTTTAAAAAAACAATATAATCAGTGAGCACTTTCAAAACCTCGAATTCAATATTTAACTATATACTGCTGGTAAGTGGTATTTATGTGTTTATTTCATTCGATGATGTTAACTTTGAAACTATTATAGATGTACAATAATGTAGTCTTGCTTATATTACTTTTTTAGTCAAATTAGTTTCTTTAAATAAACCATAAAATTAATTTTCAAGATTTAGATGGGAATAAGATTATTCAGTATTAATATAATTAATATTATAAGAGACCATTAATCAGTAGGTAGGTAATATTAAATGTTGCAAAACATTTCTAATAAGGTGCTTTAATTTCAAAATAAATTACTTATAATTTCCATGTAAAATCTCGAGAAAATTAATCAACGACGTTGTTCCAAACGTTTTGTGAAATTCATAAAAAAAAACTAGTACTTAATATCATTTTTTCTAAAGTATGTACCTAGTTTATTATTTTAAATATTTTTTAATTCATTTGACTTCTCAAAATACCATTTTTCAATAGTTTATAAATTTGTTTACTTTTGCTTGTATAGTTTTGTGTTAGTTTATTATTGAATAAATTAAATATGGTATAAATTATAATATTATAATGAGTAGGATGTAGGTACAAGACTAATATTATCAAAAACATAATAATTTAGAAATAGTTAGAATAGTATAGAATAATATAGAATATCATCTTACTTCTTGGATAAAGTTATGTTTATTTCCCAAATAATAAACGGACAACAAAATCGAAGAGAACTTTGGCGTTCCGGATATTAAATTATTTTACATTTTACATAAATGTTGTTGCCATTGTAAAATTAAATGAACTAAAGAAATCAACTATATTCGCTTAAAATTAAATAATAGATCTGCTGATACATTTTTAATCATAGCTGCAGTTTATTTATATATTATAATATTTTACAGTTGGTAGCTAAGTACTTTCAGAACTTCGACTTATTGTAATAGGTATAATGGGACATTTTGAAATGATTTCAAAAACATAAAATTATGCGTTGAAAAAAGATGAATTCATTAAAGTATTAATAGTGAAATTATTGTCGAGATTTTTGGCTAAAAAAGAAATACTTTGGAGAGCATGGGATTACCTAGAACATAACAGTTCACTCATTATTTAACAAATACATTTTTTATAAAATAACATGCTTTATAATACAAATTTATGTAAAAGTATTGAACTATGATTTTCATTATGAAAATATCTTAGGTATTCCAACATAGATAACGGCTATTAAAATGGGTTTTACAAAACCAGTTTATTGAATTCTGTAGCTTAATGTAAATACATATTATAATTGAAACTCAAGAAGCTTGTTATTTTCACTCGGGAATGTGATTAAAGCTTTTAATTTGTTTGGTCTCATTAGATTTGAATTAGTACCTATCCTAGTCTCAACCTACTTGTAAAGTTCATACGATAACAATAAAAGGATACATTTTTTCTCACAAAATTCCTGTTTAATTATACATTTTAATTGTTTGTATTTTGTTTTTGCATGTATTTAAACGTATTTGAACACAGGTTTTATTTTTATGGGTGTATCTATACAATGATATACAGACAAATGTTCAACTTTTAATTGGTAAAACCGTTAGAATTACCATAAATAATAAAAACAGATTATATTAATAAAAACTCATTGAATGAAATATTAAAAAAAATATTTGAGACACTGAGATTAACTCATGATTAAGTCCACATATTTGATATTAATCGTCTGAATAAATGTTTTAAATAAACTTTTCTTATATTTTTAAAGATCTATTACTCTTTAAAGTTTATAGTAAAAACCTTATTTTTGAAATTGTATTATTCAAGTAGGTACCTAGAAAATATAAATAATATGTATTGTGATAAACAGTTCCCACCTTTTTCCGGGGTTTTGAACGAAAATAAAAAATAGGTAATACAAATAATGTAAACAATACATTGCTTCGATAACGGTTATTGCGCTAAGTTAATCAGTTTTTATATTTATAAAATATAGAGAATTGTTAAATAATTTATTTGAAATATAGGTATTTGTTTTACTTCTAACTATGCACTATTTTATTTTATACATAGTTCGAATAGTTGCGTTGCAATTTAAATAATGTTAAAATTTGGTTTAATAAATATTCAATATTCATAGATTCCGGAATCACTGACCAAACTGTTCAGTCAGTATCTAGACTCTGTGACCACTACCATAAAATTCAACAATACTGCCAATATACATGGTTACTTTTCTTTTTTCTTTTTTATTTAAATGCAAAAACAGTACATACATGGTTACTATTTAAAACAATTATGTATATTTCTTATGAAATTATAAAAAAAAAAAAGAGAGAAGTGGATGTCGCTCTGCTGTACAGTATTTTACAAGTGGGTCAATGTATAATGGATTGTATTAAACTTGAATTCAATGATATGATATCATTGTATAAGAAAAACGATTATGAGGGGAGATGGTTTATCAGTCTGGATTTTTTAAATTTTTATTATTTATTATAGCCTTTAAGTCTTTAAGTTAAAGGTAGTATAATATTATAATTTTTTATTCGTTGCTACGGTGATAAACAAATTGTTAGAAATTAAAATGTCATTTTAAGCGGTTTTTCGTAATTTGTCAGTAGTTTTTCCTTGTAATTATATAACTATTGAGAAAATCGAAAAATGACCTTTCTAAAGTACCATCTTGATACAATTTTCTAAAAGATAAGGTACTATATGTTGAAATCGAAGCACTCCTTCTGGTAGACATTTTGTATAGACAACTTTTTTTAATATACTATTTAACTATAACTAAAAATAAAATAACACGCAGCCTATCCATGCAGCCCACATGGTCCCACTGTTTTCAAAATGGTAACAAAATTTGGTAATCTTAATGCGACTAAAAGTATGTCTCTCGAAAAAAATTGGTATTCGTTTAGGGGACGGTAAAACCCAAAATATTTTAAATTAATGAAAATTTCAATTTAGGTTTTCTTTTGTATCTTAAAAATACTTTATATTTACTTACTACTAAGTACTAGTACTACTTATACTTAGTTTCTGGAAATCTGGAATACATTTTCGATTTGCTAACATTTGGTATAATTTGGATAATATCATGTAAAGTGGGTGGGTCAAGTTCATGGACGTTAATATTAAATAATAAATAAGAATGATAATTGTTTGTAAGCATAGACTTTAGTGGAATATTGAACTTTAAACTACAGTTAGGGGCAACCACCACCATGGCGAATTCAGGCTAGCAGAATATTATTATTCATTGTAATGATATACCTAGGTAGTAGTAGGTAATAATAATTTGCTGAATAATTCACGGCGAGAGAGAATCTATTTCAAAAGTACGTTATGTCGATAATATCTGACATTTTGTCTTGTCATCTTTGGCTACAAGATTGATATATTCACAAACTCGGGCGACAAATTATATTATTGTATAATAGATGCAGGGGCGGACTGGGGCGGACTGGGGCAACATTTCGGCCCGGGAAATCTATATTTTGACCGGCCCTTGCCATTTCTCGTCATCACAAAATGTAAAAACTAAAAAACATACCAACGTTTTATTCAATAAGAAATGCATCCTCTACACATTTTCAATTTTCTCAGAAAACAACTTAAGATTCTCAATGTTTTTAGTACATTATATATTATTATTATCTGGAGACCTGAATTATAGACTAAAAAGTATAATGTATAAATTATTTATAATTACCTATATTACTATGTTAGTATTAACATTAGGTACACATGGTGTAATACTAATGTGTAAGATATTATAATAAATTAAACATTCTTTATTTTTTTGTATCTATATTTTAACATCTAATCAAACATTTTAATAGGTTAATTTAGATCTTAATAAATTACTGTGATTTTTAACAGTATCAATAATGTCATCGTTATCAATTTCGAGTAAAATCTGTTTCTCTACACTCATCAGCATAAATGCCTCCAATTTCGATTCCGTCAAAGTGTTTCTCAGCCGTGATTTAATGTACTTCAGAATTGAGAATGATCTTTCACATGCTACCTAAAAAATAAAACTTACATTGTTAATTGTTATTATACCCTGCATATTACTGCAATACTGCATATTATTAATAAATTATGTTTGTATTAAAAATAATTAATTCATTATTGTTACCAGAGTACATGGTAATGTAAGAAGGTATTTGTAGGGTAAAGCAAGGTTTGAGTAAGCATTACTATATAAATTATACTTGAGTAAAACATTGTAGTAACAAACTGAACAATTCATACATGATTTACACATTTTAGATTCTGAGTGGAACGATGAATGTATTGATTTTACAATGATGTGTGTTTTTATTTTTTTATTTTTGTGTCTGTGTACACGATAAGTAGTCGAAATAATGCTTCGATTTTCAACTTCAGTATCTTGTTCGATTGGAAAGTGAATCTAGTTGGTGCATTCGGGAGGTCAAATTTTAAAATTTTCAATAGTTTTCACAGCCGGGATTAAACACATAAAAATTAAGGAATAACGGGAATTTTTACGCAAAATCTGTTTTCCAAAAAATCGATTTTGGTTTTTGGTGCAACTCTTATCCAAATGACCGTAGGTACATGAAATTTTCACTGGTTGTTTATATTTGCATTTTCTATACACGATAACATTTTTAAAATATTATGATTTGTTTTGAACTGTTTAGGCACATTTTCTTTTTCCATTTTTTTTTAGTTTTTATTCTAAAAATATCAATAAAATTTTATTTGTTGGTTTCGAAAGCTTGCAAATTTAATAGAAGGCTTCTAGTATATTGTTTCAAAGGCAGATGAAAAATATTAAAAATCCTTAGTCACAATTTTTTTTATAAGCATTTAAAGTTCAAAAATTGACAAAATATGGAAAAATCACGAAAATTATCAAATTATTTTGAGTTAAGAATTCGTAAAAATTTTTCTTTTTAAATCTAAGATTTGAAAATGTAATACAAGATTACTCATAAGTTTGTCTACCTTTATCAATAAAAAAATCTCTACCGGAAAGTCAAATAAAATTTTTATGAGCGTTTGAAATTCAAATTTTTACAACATTGGATATTCACTCGATTTCTCATGTAGCAATTTCCTTATTTTGTTGTAAATCAAAAACGAATAACTGTAGATACATGAAAATTTCACTGAATGTTTATATTAGCATTTCCTATACATAGTACAATTTAAATATTTTGACTCTTTTTGAGCTTTTTACGGACTTTTTCAGTTTTCAATTTTTTTAGTTTTTTTTTTTTATAAATATCAATGAAGTTTTATCTGTTGGGCCAAAAAGTGGAAAAGTTTAATACAAGGCTCCTGATAAATTGTTATAATATCAGTTGAAAAATTTTAAAAATACATAGGCACAATTTTTTTTTTATAAGCATTTAAACATCGAATTTTGACAGAATTTTTCAAAATATCGAAAATTATTAATCATCGTAATTAATAAATTATAAAATGTTCAGTTTTTTTAGCTAAGAAAATTTAAAACAAGATTCCACGTAAGTAGTTAATTCTCTTACCGAAATTTCTAAAAAATATACAATCACAGTTTATTTTTATAGTAATTTTATGTTCAAATTTGGACGAAATTACATATTAAAAAACCTAGTTATTTTGTTCTGATTATATAATATTATTCGTGGGTACCTACTTGAAACTTCTAAAGTTATATATATATGATAGTATCAGGGTTTGTTATTGATGTTGATGTATAACGTGTTATAAGTACCTAATGGATATTGTGATAATGTGATATGATTAATTTGGAATTTATTATAGGTCAATTTTTGTTTTAATACCATAGATATGTATATAATTTGTCTTAAACCTAGACTGACATACCGTCTTCACTCAGAATCGTCTTATACAATGATATTGTATCATTGAATTCAAATTTAATAGTATCCATTATACAGTGACCCACTTGTAACCTACTGTACAGCAGAGCGACATCCACTTACCCACCTTTTTTTAGTTTTGTTTCTATAAATATCAATAAAGTTTTATCTGTTGGTCCAAGAAGTGTAAAAATGTAATACAAGGCTAATGATATATTGTTACAATATCAGTTGAAAAATATTAAAAATGCATAGGCACAATTTTTTTTTATAAGCATTTAAAGATCAAATTTAAAATTGAATAATTATTTTGTAGTTAAAAATTTATAAAATGTTCAACTTTTATATCTAAGGATTGAAAATTTAAAACAAGATTCCACATAAGCTATATTTTTTTTTTTTTACTATCTATGTATAATTAATATAATAAGGTTACCCTTGAGACCTCATTATACTTTTTTAGATCTTTACTTTGGCACATTAAATTAAAAAAACAGTTGCCATGACCACCAAACAATAACAAATTTGAAATTAATGTTATAAAATTCAGATAATTAATATAATAAGGTTACCCAAGCAATTTTTTTTTATCAATTACCCTATAAATATTACCTAGGTATGTTCTACATATGACAGCAAGGACAACAAAGACATAAAATGTGGTACTTCATTGCAGACTCGTATGCAATATGGTTTTTATAAAATTTTGCCTAAAATAATAAATGAGAATTGTTACAAGTTACAAGTTACAAGTTACAACTAGGTATTTACCTATTTATTTTAATATTAATCAAAGCATTGCATTTTTTATTTTTACTTAAAGAATTTTGTTGATTTTGTTATGTTTTATTCTTTTATAGCAATTGTGAATCAAACATTATTACGCTTTGCTTACGTATTTAATGATAGCGTTATTTTAATGATGAATGTCTTTATTATTTTTTAGGATTTATTTAATAGGTATATGTAAAGACTCTTGAAGGTCAGAAATAATGGTAATAAAGAATGTTTTAAGAATTAATATTGATTTGGATTTAGTAACAAATCATTTAAAATCATTGAATGGTCAATAAGTTTTTCTAAATTATTCTAAATTATTCAATATAGCAATAACGTTGCCAATTAATTCTGCTACATGCGATTAAAATTTTCTGCAATTCGAAGATTAAAAATTTGGATTAGGTCTACAATGTTACAACATCGTTTTAGTAGTTTGGGCTTACTTAGTATAGAAAAAGACATAAATATTGATGTGGATCGGTCTTCAATGATTTTGAGAAAACTCAATGAAGAATTAATTTAATTTTGTAAATATTAATTAAAATAAAATTGTATACATTTATTATTTTATATGATCATGATTTTTTAATTTAATTAAACTTTTATCTTGCAACATTACAGCTGTTAGTGATTATAACTAATAATAATAATAATTCACTGATTATTTTGGATCATTTAAAGGTATGGGGATAAAGCTTCAGCTTATAATTTTTAGTTAAAAAATGGTAGGGCTAAAGCCCCCCCCCCCCATTGATATTCCCTTTTGCGCCTATGGGCACAATGAAACCACACAAGGCGTTTCAACGCCGTAAAATAAAATAGAAATATTATAATATAAAATACCTACCTATACTAAATGAATTGTGCTAAAGTCTAAAATTAAAATATGGACACAGATGCCACGGATATAGTTTGTTTAGTAAAAAAAAAAAAAATACGATAACTTGTATATTTTCGTATAGTAGTAGCACTTTCATTTCCTACTTAGGTACTACTTAGCAGACATATAAGTACGTACATCTGATAATTTTTATTACATACAATGGAAATATTATTTGATTTAACCCCCCTCCCCCCCCCCCCCGAAATTTGTTCCAGCTACTGCTTTGGCCTCAATGAGACAAAAAATTAGAAAGTTTTTCCTACAAAATATAGAAAAGAGGCTAACTAATTCAAATTAGTTATCAAAATTAAAAGTGAACCTCTAAAAGAATTTTTGATTGTCACAGTACTTTTTTTGTAAGTAATTTATAGTTCAGGTTTTTTGAGTGGTTCTGAGTATTGTGTACATTTTGGTGATCAATGAAATAAATCTATATATATTAAAGACAAAAAATGTTTGAGTCTGACTATGTCCTTTATGCATTCCTAAAGGTGGGTTTCTACGGCGAGTATGGCTCGGCGAACTTCGCACAGCGCGGTTGTTGTACCGAGCCTACATGTATGCTCGGCATATCAGGAGCCTATAATGTCAACAGCATTCCCACGACGCGTAACTTGGCGAGTCGAGAGCTTATACAAACCAATCAGAGCTCCCTTAAAATTATTTAAAATTTGCCTCCAAATACTCAGTTTAAAATGAGAACCTAGTGCTCTAGAATGCAAACGAGACACAAATTTCTGTTGTGCAACTGCGTATTTTTTCATGTTAAGCGGTGAGCATAGGAGCAAATAACGTTTGAGATTTGATGAGGAAGCTGGTTAGCTTCCTAAGACTATAGCAGTAATACTTTAATAATATTGTCCAAGTTTAAAAAAAAAATTTTTAAATGTTTGAGTATAGCTATTGACATTTTTATTTTGGGGGAGGGGCGGGCTCCCCAATTACCCTTAAGCTCCCCACCTATTATACCTATACTGGGGGCATGCAATAAATTACAAAGTCCCCAAATACTACCTATAGGTAAAACTAGAGATGTAAGCTTGAACATTATTTTTTTTATTGCAATTTTCTGAAAAATGTAATGTATTTTTCTTAATATAATTAATTTTGTGGTGGTAGGATTGGTATGTGAGTTGCATATTAATTATTTAATTAGGAATTAAACTACTGTGGCTATTAAATAAAATTAAAATATACTTAAAGGTACCTATGCTTACAATCTAAATAGTAAATAAAACATATTTATCAATTATAAATAGTTCTTAATTGTGGTGTTGTGTTAAACCTATAGATAACATTTGATTTGTAATAACTAATAACTACTCATAAAAAATAGTTTGAGGAAATAACTCAAATAATAAGTATCAAAAAACGGAAAAATTAATAAATGTAGGAAAACGTTTATATATTATACACTTGTCACTTATCGTTTATTACTGAAGTAACATAACAATTCTTTTAACAGAAGATTAAAATGCAAATTTATTAGCGAGATAAAATTATTTGAATAATTATGGATTTCTTATATTAAGTTTAATAGTAGGTATACCTACCATTAAAATTTAATACAAGGCTCTAATATATTGTTACAATGACATTTAACAATTACTAAAAATACATAGTCACAATTTTTTTTAATAAGCATTTAAAGTTCGATTTTTGACAAAATTTATCAAATTTAAATTTTAAATATGATTTTGTTGTTAAAAATGTATTAAATTTTCAACTTTTATAGCTAAGGATTGAAAATTTACAACAAGGTTTCTC